ATATTCATGTAACTCACTTTCTTTTTCAACCTCATTCAAAAATATAGCAATTGAACACAATGCAATGTAGTTTAGAGATGTCTTAAAATGATTATCTCATCCGGAACAAAAAGATAAACTTCTTTCAAATATTCGGAGTGAGTTACATGAATACATTTTCTCCATTTAAGTTTCGTTTAAGGCAACGTCCCATGATAACTATAAAATATAATATCCACATTTTACTACTGAATCATCTATATTGGGTGCATATAACATTATCGAATGCCAAAACACACACCCATCATGTTCTTGTGGACATATTCAAACCATCTAAATTGATAATTCATGCTCGATTTTGGCTTAATTACCTCTAAGTTCTTATAAGTGCAAAATATATAGAACTATTTTAAAATAAATGGAATCTACTAACAAAATTATAAATATTCAAGGTTAACAAGTACTTCATCAAGCAGTTAAAAATTAAATAGCAAGTCATGGTAATGCATGCATCCAATCCGTTTGATGAAGTGACATACAAGTCATGAATATGATTAGTGGAAGACTTAGGTATGGAGCACGAACACACAAATTCTACTATATGTTAACTGACTTGAGTTCTTCTTCTTAGACATCTGGGCAAATAAATCAATTGCCCTAATTCTCTTGATAATATTATGTACTCTTTTTTTTTTTTTTGAATTTCTAAACTTATAAGACCATAAATATGAACTTCTTGTTAAGTAGGTGGAGAAGGGATTTCAAATGGTATATTACACTAATATAGAAGCCAAGAAAATAAGGACACAACTACTTACAACATACATTTTTAATACTTGTTTTCCACATAAAAGGCTACTCATGATTTGCAAACATATGTAACTGGAATACTTAATACCTTCTCTTGCTTATTCCTAGCCTTTATATCATCTTAAGATATACATCGATCCGATATATGAATACCAATCCTTGCTCTACGTATGAAGGCCTTAGAAATTCACATAAAATTCTAATAATGTATGTGTTGAGCTTTTCATACAAATTTATACAAATTCCAAAATTTACAGTCTTGCAAAATTTTCTCTTTACGATTTGTACATCACCACCCCTAACCCTAAAATCTCTACAAAAGTTATTGGCACTTATCCAAACCTCAAATTCTTAGGGTTTGTACCAAGTTACCAACTTGTATCGCAGCATCTTGCCATGGCCAAGCACCAAAATTTTGCTGACCCACAAATTCCCTTGCCTTATTAATCAAATTAACCCCATCCTTCTTCACTTTCTTCATTTTAGGACACTTCAATAACCCAACATAAGTCCCAATGTCATGGACACACGCGGGGTTCTTCATCTTGAAGAAATCCAATGCAAGCTCAACCCCAACATGTGCATAACATGCACAACTCCATGGGAGCTCAAACCTCTCAGCCAAAACCCTAAACTTCTCATTTAAGAAAACCCCTGGCAGTTTTGTCACAGGGTCATTAACATTCACCACTCTCAAAACCTTAACTCCAAGCTCCTCACACCTCTCCTTAAACCCTAGATTCCCAACCCTAGGCCCACCGTACGAATAAACGGTGACGGGTATTGTTCGATTCAACCCGACCCGGTTCAGTCCAAGCTCAGCTAGGTCATAACCAAGCAACAGAGCTAAAGAACTCCCCATACTATGACCAGCCAATGTAATACTAATCTCCTCATCTTTATACTTATTTAACAATCTTGATATTTCAGAGAGCAATTGCTCTCTGCAACTCCCATGACTGAACTTACAGTTACTGTCATCTGATGTGTAGAGACTCAAGAACCCCGACTCGACCTTCAGGTTGGGTCTCGACTCGTTTGGGTCGAGCCTGGCCGGCGTTAGGGAGCTCATGAAGTTGGCAATCCACTCAGTGTGGGTCACCGTACCACGGAAAGATACTACGATGTCTCTCCTCCCGAGTTTCTTAACCTCGTCGTCGTCTGACACGGCGACGTACCCGATCCAATGACTCCGACAAGTTCCCAATTGTGATGGGATGTCGATGTCCGGTGTCGCGTAGACGTATTTCGTGATTCGGTATCCACAGTCTGCCATTCCGGTTTCTTGAAACATGGTGGATTTCCCGTACTTGC